GTACCATGGACTTTGCTGCTGTCCCTGTGGTGGAACAGATTGTTGCGGCTGTGGTGTAGCTCCAGCCGCTGGACCAGAAGAAGAAGAAGCAATAGTATGTGCGGCTGCTGCAGACGTACCACTTGGCTGTGTGCCAGCTTGTACCGGAAAAGGGCTTGACATCGCCGTTAACGGCAACGACGACTGTGCTGCTGGCCGTAATCCTGGCCTTTGCAAAAGGTCCAAGATTTGGTCCAAGGAGTTCTGCATGAAATCCAGTCTGCTGTCCACATGCGCACGCAATGACAGTGTGCTGGACTTTAACACTTTCATTGCGTCAGACATTGCTGACTCATCTAACTCCTCTAATGCAGCTTTGTCTGCCTCTAAGGTATCAAGCCTGGCTGTTCTATTTTTAATCTCTTTCTCTCTATCGGTAGCTTGCTTCAGTTCCCTCTCTAACCGAGTGCGGATCCTCTGAACTTGTTGGAGCTCTAATAGCTCTCTGCCGCGTGGGGTCAACGGACTGAACTGCGAGCCCGCCATTTGACTTGTGGACTGACTAGAACCTACTGATCCGGAAGTACCCGTGGGCCCAGGGGGCATCCCCAACTGGGTCCCAGACGAGGATGCAGCAGAGGATGCTGCTGCGGTAGCCATTGCTGCTGCTCTTGGCTGCTGCTGCTGCTGCCTGTTCCCTAGCTGTGGCGTTTGCTGCTGCCAACGCCTGACTTGCAGCTAGTGCTGTTTCCGTCGCTGCTGCGTAAGCACGGGCCCTAACTTCGGCACGAAGCCGTCTTTCGTCCCCTGGTCGTAGGGCCTGATACACGTGCGGTACCCTAAGTGATCTCGAACGTGTCAGCCTCGCATCGTCAACTCTACCCTCATCGGTGTCTGACCCACTCATCAGTTAGGCAAACACTATCTGCACTACAACCGCCTGCTGGAGTCCTACCACAGCATGTGTCTGACCAGCACCTAATTTTCTCAAAATAAATGTGTCCGGCAGGTCCCCTACTCAACCGATCAAGTGGCAAGCTACAACATTCTCAAAGACTGTAAACATAATTTAGTTATATCAAGATTAGCTCACTTTCAGAAGCTTTGCATAGAACTGGCTATGGTAGTATACAACAGTCCTGAACTAAGCTGTCTGTGAGGTGTTAGCAGTCTGTCAACCAACTAATCAATAACAAAACTAAACTATGTTGCAGATGTATGAACAGTGGATATGGTTGTGTTAACAGTTGAGCACCAATTGGAGCCTACCCTCCCCTCAATCCAACATACCGATGAGCATCATTGAGCAGCAGTGCCATAGGTGTGCAATGTCGGCCCACCCCTGTGCCCCAGGTGCATGCGTATGACCAGGCTTGCCCTTTCTTTATCCTCGCGTGCAACGAGCCATACGTCTGACTGATCTGGCTGATCAAGAGGCCTATTTAAGGACTGCCCCCAAGGTCGCTCGGGAATTATTTAACGTCGCAATCAGGACGATGATCACAGCCAGTGGACAGATCGGATCCCCATCCAGAAATGTTTATAGACGGTCTGGGAGCGTCTGCATAAGCCTGTTCAGTCCGCACACCCCTCTATCAGCGCAGCAAAAGAGCCCCAATGGACAAAGCAGCCATCACATGCGTGTACTAATCCCATTGGGTTGGCATGGTGCCTGTGACCCATGTGCTTTGAACCAGGGCCCTTCAGAGGCACCGCCCTTTCTCCTTCCAGATGCGCCACCAGGAAGATTGTTGTCTCTCAAGGTAGAGCTCACACAACACCTTACCAAAAGAGAGGACTCTCAAGTTGGACTCACTTCCTCGCGGTAAGAAGAGATTGAGAGGGTAGATAAGGTAAGGGAACAACGTACCTGGAGATAGCTGCCCTCAACCACAGATTTCTCACCAATTGAGCCGAATGTGCATTTGATGACCGGTAGTAGCCTCGGTACCACCCACAACGTAATGCAGTGCCACCTCAGCCAAATGCCACATCAGCATGCTCTCATCACCATACATACATTCTGCCGTCACCACGGCATACCAAGCCGTATAGCCTTCCGGCGCACACCTCTCTACCCAGGTCGTGCGCCTATTTTCGGCCCGACGTCACAAGAACCAACTGCGAAGAAGCATCGTCAACGCACCAAGTCTGTATAACGCCGGCGCACCAAGGTAAGCGGCGAATCGAACCAGCTCCGATACCAAATTGCAAGGAACATGAATGTGGACGAAGCAAAGAAATCCCAATTGCAAATCACACTGAAGTCCAAGTAGTCAAAGCAAGAGCAGATAACACATTGGAACCGAGCAATCATCCATTTGAGAACGATACAGCAAAAGTTGCGAGTCAATGTCCAAGCCCAATCGGGCAACACCAACAACATAACTGGAAGTAGCCCTCTCTCTTGAATGGCGCCAGGCGCCCTATCTACTCTACAGCTGATCCTACAACTACAGTCATGGAAGCAACCAGACGACTTGATGACCAGCTAGTGATGATGTCAACACCAATGCCGACCTCCTCTTCCACCAGGTACGTTACTCTCTCTTGTCCCTCACTCTCCCTTGTTATCCCACACAACGCCCTTCACCCTCCGAAGAACCACCTTCGACCTCACCTCCTCCAGCGCCCTCATGCAGCCTGGCTATGGCTGCCAGCACCCTGCGCCCAGGCTGCGCCCTAACGCTTAGCGCCAGCCTGCCTTTTCTCAGCCTAGCGCAGCGCAGCACCCCGCAACGCAACAGCGTGCTGGCCTTGCTCGCAATGGCCAAGATCCCTGCCCACTCGCCTGCTCTGCCTATATGCCAGTGTTGCGTGTGGGTGGCCTCCCTTCAGCCTGCGCCTGGGCCCCAGTACCTGTACCCAGGCCTAATGCGGTTGGGGCCCACGTAATACAGTTGCGCCTCTTTCATCAAGGCCTGCGTCCAGATTCAGATAGTGGACCGGTTTCCCATTGGCATTTTCGGCCTCTATGTCCAGCATGCAATGTCGGCCTCACGTTTATGCGCCCAGGGCCTAACCAATTCTGGGGCCCTGGTCCTTCTGCATTTGCAGAGATCTGGTACTCGGTGCACTCCAACCAACTGGCGTGCGGCAACTGTATGGACCCCACTTCGTGAAATGTTGAACATAAGGGGCTCTCGTTGATTTGCTGGCCCGCCTTCACTTTGGGCGGCCACGAGGCTTGCTGGGGCCTTAGCCCAGAACATGTACATCACGGCAAGGCCCCTTTGAGGGCTCAATTCTCACACAACTTCTTCATGCACCTTAATTTCCGTTTCGAGTTTCCTTGAGCAGGATGGTCCATTTTACATTTCGTCGTTCCTGGAAGTTTTGCGTGCTGATGGAGGATGACTTGGCAAACTGGATTTGCGAAGCGATTTGTTTTGGCTTTTCCTTGCATGTGCTGTTGAAAATTTGAACTGATGCACTACTTGATGAGCGTGCACTGCGCTCTTTCCTTCTGACTCTTCATCTGGCATTGCCTCCATTCCCTCCGCTTCCCTAACTTCTTCCTTTCCATCAGTTATTCTCGCCTTGTGAGGGCTTCCGTGCATCCTTCTTCGTCCAGATTTTCCTGTTGGTGAATGTCAGATTGATGAGTTGACATGCACTTTGTAGCCTACAGTGCCCACACAAGGGTCAGTGCATACAATTCATACACCCTTTCCTATCTCTGATCATCTGGTTCCTACTTTGTGTACTCTTTTCTGCCTCCTTGGGCCTTGCCTTTCCGGGTATCCCCCCTTTCCTTTTGCCAGAAGATCTATAAAACTTCTAAATATTGTTCCTGTGCTCGTTCATCTTTTGCTATGCCAAAAAGATGTCAGTCGTGATTAGAATCCAGAAGAGGCCCCGTGCACTTGATGCATCGAGCAGGGTGAAAAGATCCCTGCCAAGAATGAGAGACCTTGAGCAGGCCTGATGAAATGAGGGCTCAAAAGGGGTGAACAAATAGGCTTATGTTGTTGGTGCGTGTTGCAACGGACTGGTTGCACGGGTCTGGGTTTGGTCATTTGTCAGCCCGAGTTTTCGAGAGCACAGAGATAGATGCTGTGGAGGTGAGATGTGGGGGATGAATTGAAGGCTTAGGAAGATGGGGACCTTTTTTTCAGACATTTTTGAGCTATCAACTGCGTAGTGCTTTGCCTCCCTCTCATTCTCAGGCTGTGTCGCGTGTGTGCAATCCTCTTTTTAAATCTGGACCATTTCTCGATTTATGCGTGTCATCCTTGCACAGGGGCCATGCTAATCTTCTCTGTATCATTCCATTTTTTATGGATGTCCCCAAGGACGTTCCTCTTTCATCTTGATGGACCCTGCCTTTTTTTAGCCTCTCATTGATGGCAAATGATAGCCTCCTGGTGGCTCGCTGAAAGAATCTGAAAGTTATGGTGGTTTCTGTTCATTCTATTCTTGCTAGGTGTTGTCCCTTGTGGTCTCTTGTGCATTCAGTGTGTGCATGGTCTTGTACCCATTTCTTGGAAGGATATACTTATGTGGCATGTTTGCATCCGAATGCAAATGTCACACTACATTTGCCTCATTTCTTTCTGCCCTTCTTCATCCCTTTGACACCTCTTAATCCCCAAACCCAGTAGACCTCTTTGAAACTCCCTGCGTCAGTACAGAAATGCACGGCATTCTTTATTCATCTGTTTGAGTTATTGATCAAAAGAGTACGGGCCTTGTTTGATCACTCGTCTCAAATGTCAAAAATGACGAGTGTATCTTGAGCCTTCACACAAATTGTGGCAAAAAGTCACCGCAAATGTGCACAGAACTGGACTTTTGCCATTTCTCGATTTTGACGTGTGGCGGAAAAGTGCCGGCAGCCAGTTTAGCTATACTTCAAAGAGTCTGAAAAGGTGGAAGATGAGGCAAATATACGGTACTACAAGATAGCCAAGTATGCGAACTACCGTAGATGGCTAGTGTCCAAGCACATAGTGTCAAGTTGTCAACTAATTCCAGAGAGTGACTAAATCTTGATGCTGGAACCTTGTGGGATGGAGCAGGGATGCTGAGAGACATGTGGAGCAGTGTTTTGGACGATATGGCCTTGTCGCACGATCGCTTGTTAGGGAGAACAAAAACCATCCTGGAAAGTGGTTTGCCATTGTCGAGTTTGCGTATTGGACGGATGACAATGTGAGGCAGCGTCTCGTAGCAGGTGAACAGATCAGGTTCTGCCAATTTTATGGTAAGTTCTCATTTGTCTGGTCCTTCGACAACCTATTTGACCACCAGTACCACAAGATTTTCCTCTTGGTCGGAAATAATACAAGATTTGAAAAAGATATATCTACAAGAAGCGAGATGTCTACTTGGATTGTAGAGTTGAATCTTAAATGTTCAAATTGTCAAATTCTTGAATTTTGAGAGGATTTCCTCACTACCTACCTCTTTCACCTGCACGCTTTGCATGTGGGTAACATAATGTACTAGAGTGCATGTGCGTAACGAGAGTGCATGTGCGTAATAAGAGTGCATGTGCGCAACATAATATGATGCCCATGTGGGTAACGTTGGTAAACATAGCACAGTAGAGGTCACTTGGCTGTGCATGGAAAATGAGCAATAGCGAAATGACAGATTCCCGATTGCAAAATCACAATGAAAGCCAGATACTCGAAAGCTGTCCAGAAAGCAGACATGCGTTGATATCACACCCAAGGAGAACCAAAGCTGCGATCTCAATTGTCAATGAAAGCATACTCTCAGTCTCTCACCACCACCAACAATGTCTTTGAAGCTCTACCTCCTATTGGCGCTCAGCACCCAGAGTACATTCACACAGCTGCTATCCTAGTCTACAGAATGACGAAGCAACCAGTTGACGTCGAAGTACATGCAGATGTCGACCATGCAGTCCTCCGTCATGACCAGTTACGTGCCCTCACATCATCCTCTTCACCTCTCCCGGTCTTGCTCACCCCCGTCTTCTTCACCCACATGCTCTCTCTATCCGAAGACCACCACTATCCCCGGCTGACCTATCCAAGCCCCAGCCTGGCTATGAAGGTTGGGCTATGGCGCTGCCTGATAGCAGCACCCTCACGCTCCTCCCAGCGCCCGCTTGCACTACCCGACACTTAGCGCTAGCGACCGTGAGCGCTCACTGAAGCAGTGAGCGCTCACTGAAGCAGCGCGCTGCCGTCTTGCACTCTCGTGCCCCAAATACCTCTCCCTTGGCATGGCTCTTTCCTACATGTAAAGCTGCCAGGCTCTCGTGGCCTGGACTGGGGAGGGCGTGTGCCCTCTAGCTTCTGGTTGGGCCAAACTGTCTGCGCCCAGGCCCGTTGAGACAGTGGCCTGGGATCCAATTGGTTAGGCCTGCTCAACCACTCAAAAGTAATGTGAGGTCCTCCCTGCTTTACTTGTGCTACTGGAACAGCCTAGAAGGCTCATGTATATTTCTGATTCTCACGAGCACGGTGGATGTAACCAATTGGCGCGTGGCAACTGTGTGGCGCCCACCAAAGCTTTGCAAAATTGACGAACTCAGGCCTTATTGAAATTTGGGGGCCCGCCTTCACTTAGGGCGGGCTCATGCTTGCCGTATGGCACCCTCGGGGGCATGCCAAGGGTGCAAATCCTCACATCAACATGCAAGGTACATCCAGATACATATGGAAATTGCACAATGTAGTGCAGCGGAGGACTCAAAGATATCACCTGACCTGTCTGAGACTGACGCGACATCCCATCGTACACCACACATGTGAGAGAGGGAGGAGGGACCACATACACAGAAGGAAGGTCCCTAGCACACGCACATAGGGGAGATACCACGGATGAGCGATGGGGGGAGAGGCGAGACGAAAATGGAGGCGAGGGAGAAGACCAAGATCGCGACAGCGAAGTCTAAAAACAGTCCCTTACCGACTGTACAATCAATGTCTGCCACAGAAATGTCAGATCAGATCCTCGGCCAACTGCCTGATGTAACCTCTGCCTGCAATCTCTCTCTCTCTCTCTCTCTCTCTCTCTCTCTCTCTCTCTCTCTCTCTCTCTCTCTCTCTCTCTCTCTCTGTGCGTGTGTGTGTGTGTGTGTGAAGAAGAAGAAGGAGGAGGGAGAAGGGAGACGAGATGGAGGGCGAGACGAAGAAGAAGAAGATGTCATCCTCCTCGCCGTCTCACCTGCAGGTAACTGCCGCCATGTACTGACTGCCGTCGTCGTCGTCATGTGCAGGTCGCGCACGGAGTCCCAGCTATGGCGCCAGGTAAGTCTGCCGCTGCAGGTATGGCCTCCGCCCCTCGGCCTAGCTACGCCTCTACCTCTGCAATAGCGCTGTAGTCCCAGCGCTGCTCCAGCAGCGTGTCGCCCAAGAAGTGAGCTACCTGAACTGTCTGTCTGCCCTTGCCGTGGCCCAGCTATGTACAGCGCTGGGACGGCCTGTTTACCCATGTGCCTCTGGCCTTGCCCGAAAACGTGGGCCTCTCGGGTCTGGTTCCCGACCGGACGTCCAGACCCTGCAGCTGGCGCAGAAGGCCCTGCCCCCTGGTGTCCCTGGCCCAAGGCACGGCCTTGGGGACTGCAAGTCCGAAAAGACGTTTGAACAGACAAAAATAGGACAGCTATTAGCTAACAAATAAATAATTTATAAATAAATAACTGTGTCTGATGGGCACGCGGCCTGGGGGGCCCTCAGCAACCGTCGGGCCCCTGAAATGGGGCCCGTGTGCAGGCGCAGCATGTAACACCCCCCCCTCCTTATGAAGTCAAGCCTGGTCAAGGGCGAAGCTGACGATCTGATGGTGGAACCTGGACGCGAGTACGGCGTGGAGCCGAAGGTACAGGCTTGCCTTGCAACTTGCGTTCGTAGCGTGTGAGAACATCGGGGGCTGTTGCCTGAAGTTCCGCACGGGTCAAGCAACGGTCAGCTTTATAGCTGCAGTAGCAAAAATGTACTAAGTACTCCGTCGGCCTGTTGCCGTAGCGTTGCTGGGAGATTATTTCGCCAACCTCTTGAAAACCGTCCATAGACGGTGGGTCTCGGATCATCGCCCAGGAAAGTTGTCGTGTTCTGCTGAAGTGAACGCCAACCTCTTGAAAACCGTCCATAGAGGGTGGGTCTCGGATCATCCCCTGGGAAAGTCGTCGTGTTCCGCCGAAGTGAACAGAGCTAACTTGAAACAATGAAAGACCGGGTGGACGTCGAAATGAACGGGGCCCTGGCCCATCGTGGCCCCCACTGGGGATGCGGCCGAAGGACCTTCATTTGTCATTGCAAGAGATATCTTGTTCGAGGCTGAACTCCGCGGCGGAGCCCCATACGAGGTCGCTGGCGCAGAATGGACAAGGAAGACGCTGACGATTGGCCTGTTGGCTCATGCGTTGTTGCATCTTCTACATCTGATCGCGGGCCTTAACAAGTAGCTCTTGCATCCGACGAAAGAAGAGAAGGTGGCCGTTGCTCTCGGCCGCCCGCGGGATAACCATATCCAACGAAGAAGTGACCGGTGAGCCATGCTCGGACTTAGAGGGTGACATCTTGATAGTCGGATGAATGGATGAGTTGTATGCCAACTCGACATCTGACAGCCACTCATCCCAATCCTTTTGGTCTGGACGGATGAGAGTGCAAAGGAGAACCTGTGCGGCCCTCTCCGTTTGGCCATCGGTTTGGGGGTGGCGAGACGAACTCGGCTTGAGAGATGAGCCCCATCGTTTGATGAGCGCCAACCAAAAATCGGACATGAACCGAGTGTCGTCGTCGCAAACGATCTCCTTGGGGTAACCCTTGGTTCGAATCCAATCGGCGTATAGAACCTCGACCAACTCCTGTGCCTTGGCATGATAGCGGCAAGGCAAAAACATGGCGAACTTGTGTCGATCGACCATCGTGAGAATTCCATCCATACCGGTTTTGTGCTCGGGGAACGGCTTGGTGATGTCCATGGCAATCGATTCCCTTCGTTGCAAGGGGATTGGTAATGGTCGCAACTCGCTGTACGGATGATGATTGTGGGATTTGCAACGTCGACAAACCTCGCATGACTCGGAATAGCGTGTGATGTCGCTAAGAAGGCCGGGCCACCAAAAGCGCTCGCCAAGTCGGCCAATCGTTCGATTGACTCCAAAATGTCCGGTGGCGGGAGCGTTGCGGAACTCGCCAAGAAGCCACGTGCGCAAGTGGGAATCACTTGGCACGCAAAGAAGATCCTTCCCCTGTGAGTGGACGAGCAAATATCCCTCTTGGATCCGATAGTGCGATGACGCCGGATTTGGAGATTGTCACGAAACTCGGTGTCGGCTTTATAGCCGCAACTGAAGTTGTCCCGCTGTCGAGCGCACAGTCCTCGTTGGGGGGACCTTCCCGACCGCATCACGCAGGATTGGCAGATTCGCGAGTCGCTTCACAAAAGGGGAAGCGGCGGATCCGCTCTAGCTGAGTGCGCCAGCCAAGTCCCTACGATAGGATAGGGTCTCGCGAGGTACAACTTACCTCCACCCGCGGGAGTTGTCCCCATAGCTTGGGTGGGCGTATACCCGCCGAACTATTGAACCACACACGAAAGCTTTTGCGTGCAATCGCAGAGGTGGCCCAGCCGAGGACGTTTCTCGTACACTGTAGCATAAGGGGTACGCGCGGTCCACACCTAACTCGGACTCGTACGCGAACCGTCACGTTGGGGCGCTGATCTCCCACACACATTTCAGCGTCGGTCGACTAGGACATCATAACTCAATCATGCGATATGTAACAAAAGTAATAAATCTAACTCGAACAAACAAATAAGCCTAATCCCTTTTTCAAGCGTCTTGACCCATAAATCAAAAGAAGCTATAGGGTCTAAGTGAGGCCCGCGAGAAGTTGCATGAAAAAAAGAATGTAACCGCTAAGGGGGCCATAATGCTCAGCCATGCATACTCACATGACCGGCTGTCATCGCGATGCTTCATGCGTTACCCATAACCACGCAACCTCTCATGGGTTTTAGGGTTGCATACGACATTCAAGTGTCGAAACCAAAATATCGTGAAGGGACTCTCCTTCACGATATTGAACGACTGAAGGATAAGCCGCTCAGCCCTTGCGGCACCCCTGTCTTTTAGGCAGCGGGTGATGGTAGGCAAGGGACATAGGTTCGACTCATGGGGAAACCCTTCTAGTGCTGGATCAGAGACTACAGTCTTCCCCCGAACAAAACGCACGTATGTACTATTCAACTTTCCTTGGAAAAGTCTATTTCTTGAAGTTCCCCCCCGAAATTCAAATAGTACGCACGTGTGTACTATTCGAATAGTACGTACGTATGTATTATTCGTACACACACGTGTTCTCTCTCTCTCTCTCTCTCTCTCACACACACACACACACACACACAGAGGTACGTGCCTCTGTCCAAGAAGAACCAACTAAAATCGTCGTTCGTTGATCTGTATCTGACCACAACTGCGGTCAAAGAAATCTCCCCTGCAAATGATTTGAGCCTCTCTCTCTCTCTCTCTCTCTCTCACACACACACACACACACACACACACACACACACACACACACACACACACACACACACAC